GATGCATTAACATTCATGTATTCGTTCATCTACACATATGAAAACAGAATCGACGGAAAAAAAAAAACCATTCAACTCCTCAACACACAAAAAACGAAGCCCTAACCATTCAAATCGACGGAGCAATGGAAAAATTAAAAGAAACGCCTCGATGATTAAGTCAATTTCTTTCACTTTGTTTCAACACGAATTTCCAAGAAAAAGGGGAAGCGAAAATGGACAGAAAAGAGAGCAAACAGTTTGATTTTTTGAACTAAGGGGTAGTACTGTAATTTCACTTCCTTTTAAATTTAATTAAATATTCAAGTGGGTCATTTGGGCACATTTTGAAGGTGTGGGTCATTTAAGCATTCTATAAACTTTTTAAGGTCATTTGAGTCAATTTCCCTAAAATCATCACCATTGTTCCAGTCACAAAGAAGTTGTCACCATTTGTTCCAAGACAGCTAAGGACCAAAAGTCAAAGTTGATAATGATAGTCATACAAGAAACCAAATAACCTTTAGAAAAAGAAAAGAAAATTCATACCAAATATGCTAATGAAATAAAAAAGAGCAGAATGCATACTCAGACTTGAAACACGTCATACGCCTCTTTAAGTCATCTTCCCGTGCCTCGACTTCCTGGAGCTTTCTTTCTGCAGCACGATTACACCGGTTAGTTTCCGCTTGTAAAGATTCTGCTGCATGTATTTTGGCTTCAGCCTCAATAAATTTCTTCTGAGCATCCTCCATCGTACTGCGTGCTTCAGTCAATCTACTCTCAGCTGCAACCTTGGTTTCAGCAGATTCTAGACGCATTTCGTGCAAAGCCTTCTCAAGCTATATATCAGAGTAGAAGATTACAAGCACATAAATACACTAGTCAGGGAAACTCGTCTACAAATAAATACTTACACTAGCAATACACTCTTCCTTTATCCCAATAGTCCTCTTCAAACTCTCCTCTCGTTTCTTTGCTTCAGTTAAAGCCGATAAGTGGGCAGCTTGGTCACGCCTGTACAGTAATTCAGCAGTCTCAGCTTTACTTTTCATTTGCTCACAATCTGAAGCCAACTCCTTCCTTTCTAATATGAGAAGGCCCATATGGTGTTGGTGCTCGTAGATCTAGCAATAGTACAAAAATTAGTTTAGTAGGCAAAAAGGGAAATTTATTAGTACAATTCAAAAATCAGAGCTCTTTCAATTAAAAAAATACAAGCCTACCAGAATAAAAACCAATTCAAGAATGCACAACACTGACTCCTAAGGAGAATTTTATGTAAAAGGGGTATAGAGTTGTATTAATTCAAGACAAGCAACTTTACAGAACAGTTATACACATAAGTCCTACTCCACAGAAAATAAAATGTTATTCATCAGTGTCAGAAAGCCCACTGACAGAAAAGAGAAGACACAGGTTTAGGTACACAACAAAGTGGAGCTGAAAGAAGCTAAAAATTTAGAAGTCTAACAATTGCCATCCTAGGATAGCAGACACAAGTCAGTAAAGCAAATTAGAGAACCCTGTCCAAGTAGATTAAACTATAAAACAAATTACTATTAGATATTATTAAAATCTACAATATCTATTAACAACAAAAATAAAAACTCAGTCACTCCTAGAGATTAATCGCCCATGTGTACAGTGCCTGAAAAGGATAGAATCCTTTTAAAGAGAAGAAATTTTAACACGTAAACAAAGTTAATCATAGGCCATTAATGGGAAGTAAGTCAATCAAAGTTGAGCACAATTAAACAATCGCGAATTTCATACAGCAATTTTTGGAACTCTTCAGTGAATTTTTTGAGACCTTACATCAAAAATTCATATTTCTGAGCTTCAAAATTTCGTGCAGGCATATTGCAAACATGACATTATTAAATTTTGATAAAGATGAAGTTTTCTACCAAAAAAAAAAAAAAAACAGGAGTTAGAAAATCAGTTAACATAATATTATCTCGCGATTCCATTCTATTATCCTGGAATAGACATTCTCTACTGTCTCCAAACTGGTAGTAGTTCACCTAACCTTTTGGTTTTGTCCTTGTTTCACTTTTGGTCGTAGATATTAATAAGAAAATGGATCATTTATTTCAATGAGGTCATAACGGACAGAAGTGATTCAGTCGTTATGCATGCCAAAGTGCATTAGCAGAATTACGAGGAATCAATTATTAATACAATCAAGTATCTTACTAAATTGAACTAAAAAACCGCCATAATTTTTATTACCCTCTCCAAGAATAAACAATTTGATCAAATTCAGCTCATATTCTCAAAATTCTCACAGAAGCTTCCTTCCAGGAGCACGCTTAAGATTTTATCGGACATCAGTTGGGTTTTTCTATAATCAAATACAAAAGCATTTTGTGTTCAAGAAACACTCGAATCCCATACCATGGCCAAAGCAGAAATATGATTCCAAATACCCCGCATCCCGCGACGAACACGCAAGAGAAGAGTGAGTAAACGAAATGTGAATCTCGAGAACCGATAAAGCTGTTATGTAAGAAATAAGACAAACCTCAGCTTCTAGCTTAGCGATATATGCTATAAGCGCAGCTTTATCCCTGCGTTTAATCGATTCCTCATCGAACCCAGCCTCTTTGAGACGCTTCCAGATAGCATCGTCGGCAAGTGGGGTCTGCAAAACCCTAGAACCTGGCGTCAAAGACAAACCCTTGCCGGAACTGAAAGTAACTCCGGCTCGTTCTGACTGCGGACTCGCCATTCCGGAGTCCGAATTGGAAGAGAAACAAACCCTAAAACACACAGAGCGTCCTCGATTCGACCCTCCGCCACGGCCGATCTTGGCAGACGAAACTTACTTTTGCGTCCTCCGCTCACTCCCTCACCAAAGTGGGAAGCATGATCGAGTTTCTCTTGGTCTACTTTGGTTCTGCTCTGAATCGCTTTTACTTTTCACCCTCTCAGGCTTCGTAGGCTCACAGCGTAATTCAATTCACAATACAGTCAAAAGAAAGTCAACGGAGCGGACAGTGAGACGAAGATTAGACATACGACGCCGTTTAGTTAATAATCAGTTGAACGATTTCTGGCTTTAAAATCGCATCTGATTCTGAGATTAGCGGAGCGGCTTGATTAGAATTCAAATTGGGTAAATTAAATGAATTTGTTGTACTCAAAACAAAAAGAAAAAAAAGTAAATTAAATCAGAGATTTGTGAAAATCTCACTGTCTCAGTAGGCTAGCTTATGGAGGAAGGAAAGGAATGAGGCTGAGTGCGACAGTCAGCCATCCACGTCATGTCGTCTAGTTCTTGAAAATCTTAATTTGGGGCCGGCCCAATACTTGCAACTATCAACAAGCCCAACCCCCATGGCTGATGGACATTTAACAACCTTCCAAGTTTCCAGCATGACTTTAGGAGGAATATTTGGAAATTTGTTATCCTTTCATTTCAAAATAATACCTAGTTTAATTGGGTAAGGTATAGTCCTAGTTTCCAATTTTCGTTCCTACCTATTGTAAAAAAAAATTAGGAATAATGTAATAGATAATTTGTTTTTAAAATTAAAATCAAGGCAAATTGTTCGACGAGAAATTCAACGAGAGAAAACTCGGATTTATGAACTTGTATTTGTATTGAATATACGTAGTGTTACAATCTCTAATGTATGATCCTCTGATTAATTATCTCAGATGTGAAGTTTAATTCAAAGGGTTGTGAGCTTGTTCTCGAATCAATGGGTCTGCGCCTTCAGCTTCTAGCGTATTGGAGAATCCTTAAAGTCTTCGGCTATGAAGCTTAACGCTTGGCGAGGTTTGTTGGCTTGATGAAGTCTTTGGCTCGCTTGACGAAATTTGCTACTTGATGAAGTACTTTACTTTTGCAGAACTTCGGCTTTGCAGCTTGTGGAAGTTCTTCGGCTTTTCAACTTGTTGAAGTTCTTCGACTTTTGCAGCGTGTTGAGTTCTTCAGTCGGTCGCTTGGCGGAGAGAGGGTTCATAATTCTTGAAGTCTTGTCGTCTTCAGTTCTTCGAGTCTTGTTAGTTATGGATGCTTCGCACTTTAAATGATTGTAAACGACTCTGAATGCACCGAATGCTCTGAATCTCCAATGCTTCTGGATCTTTTTCTTCCGAGGGTGACCCACTCTATTTATAGAGCTTGGTGGGTCTTGTATGGGCCATGGGCTCGAATGGGTTGTGGGCTTGAGCCTAATCTCTTTATAGGTTTTGATCCAATTAGTTGATTTCATCGGACCACCCTAAGAGAGACACGTGGGACAATTTGATTTACCGATTTAAAATTAATTTTGGACACATGTAATTTTATGATTGGTCCCAAAATATAATTTTAAATTATGATGTGGCATTAGGTAATTTGTCAAAATTTCTCATTCAACACAAATATAATAATTTTGAGATATTAAAGCAGGATGATTCGAAGTCTTTTAAGTTTCTTTTAGATAAATTCTTCCTTTTTTTTTAATACAACATGTGGGGTGGGAGATGAACTTATAAGTTGGAAGTATATGTCAATTACTTGTTAAATTGCTGGGACAAATTCTCCCATTTTTTAGAATCAATATTTTATGTGATTATTTATATTTTTAGATGTCTAATATGATTTTTTTTTACTAAAATACCTAATTTATGATTCTCCTGCCATATTTTAATTTATACTTTTCTAATAATTTTAAGACAAAATATATTTATTAAGGGTTAAATTTTAAAATTTTGAATGATGATACTAACATTCATTAATCAACGATTATTTTTCATGATATTTAGTAGGGCATTTTCTTTCCATAACTGACGATTGTATAATTAACTCATGGATTTCTCTATTTACCTATATTTTTCATTTCTTTTGCTGGCAAACGCCGTTTTGTTTTATTTTGTATTTTATACACCTTTTTTCAGCAGAAAAAAAAAAACATTATTATTAGTTCGTTTTTCGGCAAAAATCGTTATTGTGTTTATTTATCATTTTTTTCCTACATTTCTAACATCGTTATTGACGTTATTTTTCAGTTGAAATTTCTTGGCTTTACACTCCATATATTTGATATATATATATATATATACATAATTCATAATGTATGATACATGTGGTATAATCTTTGTATTCCTTTGATATAATTATATGACATACATGCTAAAATTTGTATATACCTTTGAAATTAATGCGATGCACGTGGTATATAATTTGTATATACCTCTGAGATAAGTATGATGTTCGTGGTATAATTTATATTTCATGGTATATAATGCACATGGTATAATTTGTACATACCTAAGTATAATTCATGATGTATGATGCATGTGGTAAAATAATAATACACACAAATAGATGATAGTATATTACACACATATCCAAATCAGTAAACATATTATAATATTTTTAGTAACATTACTTTTAAATCATATTTGATATATACCTAAAATGTACCCAAAAAAATACAAGACAATAACTGAACTCGCCACAACGAGTCCCAAATAGACATTCAATCCAGTGTCCTTTAACGAGGCAGACATCGACAAAAATGTATAAAAACTCTATCTTAGGAGGTCGGTCGATTCATATATCTTCAATAAAGTTTGATGGAGGCTTAGTAGGGTGAAACCAAATCTCCACTTTCGTATAGTGTTGGGTTTGTCATGGCTTCTGCTGTCACTCGTTGACAACCACCATGTTGCCGAATTCCTGCTCCCGGCCGCAACTTAAGCCCAATCCATCCGGATCCAAAAGCGGAAAGACGGGCCTAGAGGCCCAACCCGATAAGTATATTAGATTATGGCTATTTACCATAACAGCCTTTTCTAAACCCTATGTTCCGTACAACTCCACGGGGGCAGCCATAGTGGGAAGGACAATCAATCCATTACCCATTTGAAAAAAATAAAATAAATAAAATAAAAATGAATTTTATTTTTTATTTATTTAAAGAAAATAAACCGAATATTTTGCACCCCATTACATTAAAAATCTAAGCTTTGCCGGGGTGGCCCTCCTCTCGCTCTCCACGGCAAAATCCAAGGAGATTGGATGATTTTGTGGTCGACCATTTTTTTTTTTTTTTTCAGAATAAGATTCTTATAGCCATTGCCATTTGACAACAGAATAATTAGTCAACCTCGTCGTCTTTATTCAATTATTCTATTTTTATGAGTCGTGTCATGTCCTTACTTACTATTAACCAAAAATATATATATAATACATGTACACTATAATATGCGCCAATGAATTAGAATTAAGGGGAGAATGAAAAAGTTAATTGTAAAGTGTATGATTTATATAAGATTGGAGAGGCGATAAATGATTGGGTTGAAGATTAATTTGGGTTGGTTAATCATGGTGGATGAGATTAGTCAACTTGTTGGTTGTCTGAAATTATTAATTATTCAGGAATTTGGAGCCGCTAATGCAAAAGGCAAAAATCTTGGAGCGTGGGATTCTGGATGGAATGGACGGACAGGATTCGAGATTATGAGTGTGGGACCCACTTCACGTGGCCGTCACGTGAGTTCTCTCTTGTGGAGAATTTCCGTGCCGCTGCCGCCCACCGCACCTCCCTCCTCTCGCCGCGTGCCGCCGCTCTTCAACTCCCAACCTATCTTCTTAATACAGTTTAGTTTTGGATTTTAACTTTCATGATGCAAGCATTAAACAAACACAGTTAATGTCTAGAATGTAAATAGAAGATCTTGAGTTTATAAATTTATTAAAAATCAACAAAAATTACATGAACTGAGAAAATAATATTCGGAGACAGATTTTTAATATGAAATAATTATGAATTTCAACTGAAACCAAATCATATAGGGAAAATTGGTAGGAATAGGATGGCCATGTGGGACTTTTTTCCCGCATGTTTCAAACCTTTTTCCAACAGTAACGTGGCTCCGCATCTTGTTATCCCATTTCATTTCTGTCCAAACAAATACAGAGAATTATAATTCAGATTTTCTCAATTAAAAAAAAAAGAATTGAATTCGGATCAGATTGGAATTTATTCTCGTTTATTCAAATATAGAATAACGATAAATTTAAGATTGATTTCCAATTAAGTCAAACATAAATATCATTAAAAAAATATCACAATGAGGGGAGAGCATATTGCATATTTCTAATGGTAACAGAATATTATTTGTGTTTTTTCTTTTTAAGAACATAACACTACTAATATAGTACTTCCTAACTTACGCGTTGAGATTAATCATCGATGTTTTAAGTTAAGAATATGTTTGAGAGTGATGGTAGATGAGTGATTTTGAAAAATCATCAATATTTTAAGTTAAGGATATATTTGGGAGTGATGGTAGATGAGTGATTTTGAAAAAAAAGATTTAAGGACAATTGATTTTTCGAAAACCCTACCTAAGATACTTTAAAAATCAATTTAAAGTTATTTTAAGCTCTTCTAAAATCAATTTTCTAATTTGTCAAATAAATGAGGGACGACCTTCATCTTCATCTAAATGATTACGGATTGATATATTGGGTCGAGTAAAAGTAAATGAGCATAAATTAAAAACGAAAAAAAAAACAATTATTAACTAGATTGTAATTTACTTTTGTAGTTGTATAAAATTTTTAATTAATTAAAAAATGAATGATGTTTTGAGCTCATATGATTAACAAATAAATAATAATATTCTAAAACAAGTATATTGAAAACGTTTTCTGATATGGATGGTCAAAATTTTCAACTTCAAACAAGATAATTGGTGGTTATTTATTTTTTATTTACTAAACAGAAAACTACAATTGAGAATTAAAACATATTTGTTATCAGACATGTTCTAAATTCTATGTACTTGACATTACTCCTATAATGCCTATTTCTCTTTTATTCAATGATATATATCTTAAATTAATTGAGTTGTATTTAAATTGGATAGATTGTTTTTTAGTTTTTAGATGTATTGATTTTTTAAGTACAAGATGAAGGGTGGAGATTCGAACTCAAAATATTTTGATCATATCTTAACTAGTAAAATTATGTTCATATTGACTTTTAGATGTATTAATTAATAATTAGAAAATGAATGAATAACGAGAAAATAATGTTTTAGAAAACAAAGGGAAAAAATAAGAAAACAAATTATTTTAATTTCATTAAGATACTTTAAACTAACTATTCAACATCATGATTGATTTTATTGGAATATTATTTAAAACATTCAATACTCAAACACAAAACACATGTATTAGATTTCCATGCATCTAATCTAGCTTATATTCACACTATCAAATATTAAGTTATACAATATCTAGTATAATCGTCTATTAAAGAAAAAAAAAAGTTAGCTAGTAGTTAACTCTATATTTAAACTAATTTATGAATTATATTTTATAATTGCATTCTCGTAACCCTGGATATTGGAACAATTATGATGTGGAATTTAAAAAATTATATTTATTTCAATTCGGACGATTAGTTATTTTTTGTAGTGAACTTCTATTTTTGTTACCTTTAATTTTTTAATATAAAAAAGTTATGTGTGGATTGGGATAATACAAAGTGATAAAGTTGAAAAAACAATAAATCTATCTTTAATCTTAAATAATGTTAGATATATTAAATTTGTCCGAACCAACAAGCTTAGTTATTTTAGTTAATTGGTTACCATATATAGGATCAGAGTATAAAATCATTCATGCTTAATAAAAAAAGAGACTAATTAAGACTAATGATAATACCAACGAGTATAGTTCAGTGGTAATTTACATATATCTCCAACAAGAGACTGTGAGTTCGATTCCACCCTCACATGTTGTACTAAAAGAAAAAACAATAATAATCGTTCGTGCTTAATAATAGGACATGGAACAAAATTTTTTAGGTAAATATAAATATAGAAAAAAGAGAATCAAACTTGAGATAATATATCAAAATTTAAACTTCTATAATAATTATAGAATTTTTTATGCAATAAATTATTTTAGAAATAATTAGAGGAAAATAAAAAATATTTTTGTATTCATTTCTATTTAAATTTAACACCAAAGAATAAATCAAATTTAAACGAGAAACTACAAAATTTATAACATGTATATAACTGTACGTACGTATATATGTACATGCATATACGTGTGCGTGTGTGTTATAAAAGTAAACATGTTTAATCATTGAAATTATCTATTGATTTTTTTCCTATAATTTTATTCATGTTAAAAATTTTGTAGTCATACAGTGATATTTTAAATTAAATTTATAATATCCATTTTTTGTTTGAGCAGATAATATCCATTAATTTAAACATTATTTTATACCTCAAGTTAACGGTTAAAGTATTAGGAAGTTTGAATCCTCGTCACAGGCTTGTTCTATTTTTTAGAAGAAAAAAATACACATATTATTTCATCCATATATTGACAATAAACAAATATCTACGTAGCTCTCATGCTATTATCAAACATTTGAAATAATGACAAAAATACCGAAAATACGAACCCTGAAACATGGACATGTGTAAACTAAATAGAACAGTAAAAACAGAATATTCAACCCAAACCAAAGTCCGTCCATTTAAAAAGACTGTTTGATTTGATTTGACACGTTAACTGGAATCAATTCTCTTTTTTTTTTCCCTTTTTTCCTTGGGGTGCTTTTAATCTCGAGTCGGAAAAATCAAATGATTTAAAAAGAAAAAAATATATATATATCAAAATCAGAGCCAGCCAACCAACCCAAAGCGAACCGCGTGCGACACTTTAAGCAAGCAAAAACCTTCCAACTGTTTCTGCCGGCAACCACGAGTCTCCAACTACCCTAATTTCTTTCTTTCTTTTTTCCATTTTATTATTTGTTATTTTACTTTTGTACCCCTCCATCCCCCCACGTGTACGCATGTGTAGCCTTAAAGTTGCGTGCGCACGACACCTCTCCCTCATGGAAAAGCCGGTGGGCGGCTGACGTGGCCCTTTTGCTTTTAACTACTTTCAAACGCAAGCACGGTGTGTGTGAATCTGAAAGCTTTTCAGTTTTCACCCCCCATATCCCACTTTCCAATTTTCTCAAATAATATTATTTCACTGCTTCATCCCTTTTTTTTTCTTCTTCTTTTTGAATCAATTGATTTTTATTCATGTGGAATTGTGCCAACACTAAACTCCTACAGTGGTACTACAATTCCATTATTATACACTCCCCTTATTCGAATATTCTCCCAGCCCATGGGTTAAAAACAAAAGTAATAATTCAAACGTCCAACTCACTGGAAACTAATTATTTGGGAAAAAATCACATGATGAATATAGAAAAAAAAGTCGGTGAGAGTTCGTTTGATGTGATGAATAAACTTAGTTACTTGCTTCCACCCCCACCCTCTAAATAATCAAACAAGGATGACATCATCTTTGGATGACTGGACTTGTGTTTCCCCAATTAATGCTACACCATCTTCTTTCCACGCATTCATATCTACCCCTAGATGGTGACATTAAAAAAAAAATTTGTTTTATTTATTTTTCTTTGAGGGCTTCGATTATGATATTGACTATTTCCACCGCCGGTGGATTGTATTTGTCACAAGGCGCGCAATTTGCTTCTCATATTTAGCTCATTAGATGGAACAATCGAAATCCTAATTATAATTTTCTGTATCTTAATTTTAAATTTGTTTATTTATTTTGTTACATTTTTGTTCTAGAGGTTAAATATTTAAATTATGTGTGGAATTGCAATAATGATTAAAATTTAGAATTATTTGTTATTTTTATTTTCTGAAAAAAAAAAGAGTACTAAGATTTAACCAAGCATAGTCTCAATTAATAATGTAGAGAGAGAAATGTGATGGTTACGGTTGAAGACAATAGGCAAATACGGTCGGATGGAGGAAGAAAGAAGATGGAAGACCTTATCCAGATTCTTTTTATTATTATTATTATCATTATTTAATTTTTACCTCCATTATTATTGCTAAATTCTACGCTCCACAATCAAACGCCAGCGAATCAAATGCCCATCCCAACAAAATCATTGGTGGGCCACACCTGTCTTATACTCCCCCCACCCTTTTATTTATTTATTTATTTTTTTGACAAATTTCTCTCTCTCCAACGACACGTCTCTCTCTCTTTTTCCCTCCCTTTTCTTATTAACTTCATTATTTTATATTACTGCACCTGAACCCGAGCGAGTTGTTTTACTTAAATCAGGAACGGCCTATAATAGGATTCAGCCAGAATTTAGGGTTTCTAATATAATATTGTAAAGTCAGACTAATTAAATATTTGTGAATTGGAAATAATGGTGAAATTTGGAGATGTGTAAAATTGGAAAGATGAGATGTAAGGGAGAAGGTATATTGTCTGAATGTTTAGGCATTAATGTCAATTAAAGAAGGCAACGAAGAAATCGTGTTAGCCTTTTGAAGTGTTTGGTTTTTGTTGGTTCGTCATGCTGTTTAGATGACCTAACTTGTCATCTCAGCATTGCCGACACATGGTTTTTTTTCCTCTTAAAAAGAAAAAGAAAAAATATATTTTTTCTATCTTACTATCCACCAAAAAAACAACAATAATAAGAATAATAAAATAAAACCAAGTACTAAAGTAGGTCCAAAGTCCACTCGGGCAACAACTTTGTAGTGAGGTAAAGGTGTGGATTCTTATTGATGAATCATATTCTAGCATCATTATAACTCTTTGAACAAAATTCCAATGTTGTCGTCTACCAACTTTTCTATTTCTCTCTCTAACCTTTTTCCTTTATTTTTAAAGTTCCCACGAGACAAATCAAAGAAAAGTATCATAATTATTATTCCAATAATATTAGCCTACTCTTGGTGCCCATCTCTTTCTAGCTAATCCCTTTGCACTCAAAAGAAGTAATGGGATGTAACCTTTTTGTTTTCTTACCCGTGTTTATTTTGTTTTTGATTCTACTCAAAATTCTATGTACTGATCAACTGAATACAATTAAGTTATTTACCATGCAACGAAATTAAAAACAAAAAAAATTCTTCCCAAAGAACAAAAAATATTTACAGCGATGGGTGCAATGTGTCTGACAGATTTTTACGGTTGAAGTAAAGAACATGAACCCATATTGACATGTATGGAATTGTGCATAAATTGAGCAACACATGGTGACATGGTCATGAGATGGCCATCTTGTATTGTATTGTAGTGAGTTTGAAAGATGGGGATGGGGGGAGAGACAGGCCATGTGATATATATTTACTTTGCCACAACTTCTCCAAAGGGAGCCTACTTGATGACATGATACTACTGCTGCCGAGTGGTTTTAAAAAGGGCAACCAAAAGGGAACATTCCGGACCAAATCATACCAATTATATATAAACCCCATCTCAAGTTAAGACGTACTCAACACAAACAAATAATAATAAATAACCCAAAATTGGAAGCCTCACAAATCTTAAACTAAACATAATTTTTGGGCGTTACAGCTTAACAGAAAGAGCAGAAGAAATGGTTTTTTCTCTCCTTTTTATTTTTCATGGACAATTTTATTAAGCAAGGTTAAAAGATCAAAACACAAGTGCTGATGGTTGGCGCATATACACGGCATTAGAGAATTGTTTGTCCCTTGATGTATATATGTTCCCCACTCCCACGAGAGAGAGGGATATGGAGAGGGGTTTTTCTTTTTTTTTGGGGGGGGTCTAAATTTATTTGTTGTTGGGTATAATAATGAGGGGATATCAGTAGTGGGGTACATATGGTCAACCTATGTAAGTAGCGAGATAGAAGGAGCATTCATAATTTTTTTCACCCAATTCCAAAGATTCGTCTGTCTCCTCATTCTCTCCTTTGATTATTAAGCCCCCACACACACAAACAGCGGCCACCACCAAACCAACCCATTCCCATTCCTCTTCTTAAACCCCCATTTCCCTCTCTCATCTTCCCCCACCCAATTTCCAACTTCCCACGCCAATTTTGAATTTACCCAGATGGGTTTTGACGATCTCTCTAATACAGGGCTTCTCTTGGGTTTGGGATTAACGCTTCCCTCTAAGCCGTCTCCGCCTGATAATCTTTCTCAAACGCCCAAGAAATCAGTAGCTCTGTTCACTTTCTCCCCTTCCGCCGCTAATTCCGAGCCGTCTTTAACTTTGGGCCTTTCCTCCGACGCTTACCTCAACCTGCAGGCCGCCGCTGATGCGGTTGATTTGTGTCGCCAGCCCTCGCCCCACAGCGCGGTTTCTTCATTCTCCAGCGGCGGCAGAGTGAAGCGCGAGAGAGACGTTTCCGGTGAAGATATTGAGGAAGAGAAAGCTTCTTCTCGAGTCAGTGATGAAGATGAAGATGGCTCTAATGCTAGGAAAAAACTTAGGCTAACCAAACAACAATCTGCCCTCTTGGAGGAGAGCTTCAAACTTCACAGCACTCTCAACCCTGTATGTAGTAATCTCGCTTCTTGTAATTACTCTGTCTTATCATTGATTTGTTAATCCGAGCATGGTTTCATTTAATTACAGAAGCAAAAACAAGCTTTGGCCAGGGAGTTAAATCTGCGGCCGAGACAAGTTGAAGTTTGGTTCCAGAACAGGAGAGCCAGGTAAATAAACAATCAAATCATCCCTTCCCCCAAAATTGAACTTGGGATTTGAATCGGATCAGAGAAACTAAATCAGGGGAGGGTTCAATTTGCAGGACAAAGCTAAAGCAAACAGAGGTAGATTGCGAGTTCCTAAAGAGATGCTGCGAGACACTAACAGACGAAAACAGGAGACTGCAGAAAGAGCTGCAGGAATTGAAAGCCCTGAAACTCGCACAGCCTCTGTTTATGCAAATGCCGGCGGCGACACTCACCATGTGCCCGTCGTGCGAGCGGATCGGCGGCGGAGTAAACGGCGACGGCAGTTCCAAGGGCCCATT